GAATAATTATTTCTCTTTCCACTCTTCTCTGTTCTGAAATCTATTTCTATTGTAGTCATTAAAAGAAACGTTATGGTCTTTTTTTTAACTGTATGCCACAAAGACATTTCTCATAAAGTAGTTTGAATAATAACATTGGAAATTCCCTGTTATTATTTAATCGACCTCTTAATGATTTCCTTAATAAGTGTCCAACCACTTATTATTTAAAAGAACTTATGTAATAAAAATTCTGCATCTTCACAATTATTTCATTCAAATAACTTGATATAAACAAGCAGTATGCAATATTTATTAATTAAATATATTGATAATTATCTGCTCTCTTACCAGCATGGAGTGTATGGAATGAGTAGTATTTATATTTTGCTCTCATTTGTTCAAAGCAGTAGTATTTACCGACTATCACAGATTGATTTAAAAGTAACCTTACATAAAAGTCACATAACATGACTTTTCTTTTACTTCTTTATACTGTATATCCTAATTATCCTTTTCCTCTTTCCTCTGTCTTTCCTCTACTCTCTGCAGGTTATTAGCTTTTTGACTTCCTTTAATGTAACAAACTAACCATAAATACTTTACAACTCTTAACATCTTATCACATATTGTTTCTTTGACAGTTTCAAAAATTAATGTAAAACATTCTGCCTAATGGAAAATTTTACACTGGGTTTAATCTGCAGCACCAAGAAATCCTGAACAAGCTCCAGAGAGACACTTAGTAAAAGAATACTCTATCCTGCTATTTCATTCTATACAGTACAATTGCTACTTGCCAAAAAGAAGAGCTATCTTTTCTGATACAGAGAAACCAATTTTGTTGTATTTAAGTACAATGACAATAAAGATTATACTTATAAGAAGGGTGGGGAGGGTGAGAAATACCTCCTGGCTCTGTCTAGAGTGCTGAGCTGCACGTACAGTGGGCGTGGCCCCACTGAGCCGATAGGCTGGGAGCATCCGGAACATTCTTTCATTTGCATCTCCTTCCTGCATCTGAGAGAAGCATCCTCAGCTGAAACTAGAACAGAACACCACTGCATATTCCAAGAGACGTTCTGATGGTGAATTATTTAAGATAACTTTTTGGGCAAACTGGGTAAGTATAATGGATTTGGGGACTGGAAATGCTTTGATAATGAAGTACTGAAAATTTGAAGGTTAGTGTTTTTTTATAACTGCACATATGTGACTTTAGGAAGACTAGAATTGATAAAAAGGGGGAGATAACTGCATGAGGCATAAAGCTACTAATCGTTATTCATTCTGAAAGTTGAAGGAAATCTTCAAGAAATAAGCCCAGTTCGCCAACATTACTCCTCCTCCTCCTCCCCCCTTTATCCATCCAATTCTATTGAGTCCTTCCCAAGAACCTGAAATAGGCAGAGGTTGTTGTTAAAGATATTGTCACAAGATGTAAACTATTCTGAGTAAAGCTGCCTTTTGTAATTGATTTGTGATTTTTTTTTAATGCAGATGGTGTTCAAGTGGTGCTCTAGTTGTTTTGGGATGCACCCAAGGAACCTATTGCTATCTTTGCCATCTTTTGTCACACTCGTTCTACTTTTTTCTTCTATTCTGCTGGCTCCAGATTCTCCAGGTCCACAATCCAGACTTTTTTGTCTTCCTTATCTACAATTGTTAACTCTGGGATGTTATATGGCAGGTGGTTGCCTATTTAAAGTCTAAAATCCCAAAACACTTTAGCTTCTTCATTATTCAGTCTATTTTGTGATCTCACCAATTGTAACTTGCAGGCAAATGGTATTTTTTGCAGATATTCCAATGCACTATTGTTACTATTTTGTCATGCTGTTGCAGTAGCTAACTAGAAGGTCCACTGTTTCTTCAGCTTCTTCGCAGAGTTGGGATTTGCTGTTTGTTGCTGCATTGTCAATTCTGATTTTGTATGCATTTGTTCTTAAGCTTGATCTCATATTATTATTTTCAACTCAAGATGGGAAACATCTTCTTTTCCTGGATTTGATTGACAAGATGTAGAACCGAGTTGCATGTCTTATAATTTGGCTGCCCTCCATCCCCATCCTAATTCAGCTTCTGTTCATACTACAAGGATCCTATTACATTGCCCCCCTCCCCATGAAGCACTGCATAATGGAGGGACAGGTATTTATATGGATTAGTAGCTGCAGAATATGCTGAACAGCTACCAATACTTCTGTTCTCTGTTAATTGGTGGTTTGTGAGTTCGCTAAAAATAAAGATGGGATTTCTAGATAAAATCATTTCAAAAAGAAATATGTTCCATATTGTTTACAAATTATACAGGGTAAGACATTCTTATTGTATCAAACTGTATACTGCTTTCTTTTCAGAAGGTAAGATAACATTTAAAACAAGTTAATATTTAAAAGCAGCAGCAGCCAAAAGTCAGGGTCACTGAATATCTGTGGCTGAAACCAAGGAACTGAAACATAAAACCAGTGTAAGTTAAGAGGCCTGCATTTCCTAGAAATAACAGGTTCCCAGGCTCAGCACCACCATAATATTCTGGCTCACCTACATTCCCATAATGACATCCCCAGCCCCAAATTCAAGCCCCCAATTCCTAAAACCAGAAATCTCCCACTGTCTTCTGCAACCATGCTTGATCAGGGAAGCCAAGCATCCAAGGCACCTTAGCTTCACTATCTCTTAGCATTACCAGAATACCTAGCCACCAATTCCCAGGCCACTACAAAACACACACATATTGCAACACACATTTACTAATACTAATACGGGAACCATTGCCTGCTGCTCCCACCAATTGATAGAGGGATCCCATTCACATACTCCCATTCTCCTCTGGTTCTCACCCAGGAGGCATCAGTCTTCAATCTACAGTAGGCCTAGCAGATGGATCATGTCCTCTTCCTTATTCTTGGGTTATCCAGGGAAAATAAAGTAGCCTCTATGAGAGTGATGCCGAACCTTTTTAGCCCTGAGTGCCGAAAAAGGAGTGTGCAGGTGGCTGGTTGATCGGCTGGCTGACACCAACTGCCAAAAAGGGAGCACCTTGTGGGTGCACCTCCAGCTGTGCCACAACCAGGAAGAGCAACTGCTCAGGGGGCATGTGTGCACTGGAAAAGAAACTTCTGTGCACATGTGCGACAGACATTTGCTTGTCTGTCACTACAGACAAGCAAATGTCTGTTGTGAAAGTGTATATATTCACATCCAAAATGAATATCAGAATTTGGATATGGAATTTGCTTCACCCAAAGTACCCTAGGTTTATTCCTCACAAAACAAAACAAAACTTAACTATGTTTTCTGGCCACAAATACATTTGCAGTTTCCAATAGGAGAGAACATGTAATTCAGGTTTGAACTGTTAGAATCCTTGGTGCTCTCTGAACTTGGTTGGTTGTTGCAAATGTTTCATTACCCAACTAGGTAACGTAATCAGTGCTAATGAGTGTGGGGTTTGCTCCCCATTTAAATACAACAGCTTGCTCTGCCAATGTTGGGGCTGGGATTGATGCTATGGGTTTTCTCCTTGGTAGTTCCCTTGAATAGAGTATTATTTTTTGATTGTCTGCTTATCTGGATGTAGGCTATTGAAGAGAATGTGTTCTGTTTCCTTTCTAGGTTCTCTAAATTGTCATTTGAATGGTGTGTAAATGTGATTTATTTCTATGTGTCTGTTGATGGCTGGTAGATCTGAATGCCAAGCTTCCAGGAATGCTCTAGCATTTTGGCTTTAATTTGTCTACAATGCTCAGTTTCCAGTTAAAACTGTGGTTGGGTCTGTTTATGTGTTGTGAGATTAAGGAGTTTTCATCATGTCTTTTAACTGCTACATTGTGTTCAATGCCTTCTTCAAATTCTACAATTCAGATAGATGGCTATCCAACCTGTTTAAAGATCTCCAGTGTTCTCCATGCTATGTCATATGTCAGCCTATGCTGATTGATAGCTCTTACCATCAGGAAATTATTCTAAATACTTATTCTGTATCTATTTCCCTGTAGTTTCAACATAGCAATTATGGTTCTACCCTCCAGGGTGACAAAACAAATCCACTTCCTTCTCTATTTGGCAGTCTTTTAGATGGCTATCCTATCTCCTCTCAGTCACAACCAAAGCATAACCAGTTCCTTTAACTGTTTCCTCTTAGGATATGGTTACTGCCTTCCTCACTATCTTGATTATCACATCGATGCCCTTTTTAGACTATAGACCAAACTGAATGTAGTACTCTAAATAAGGCCTGACCAAGTAGAATAGAATACTTCAGATAATCTGGATACTAAATCCCTGTTAATATACTTCCAAAACAGCTTTTGGGTTTTTGGCAGTTGCCTAACCCTATTAGTTGATGTTCAGTTTGTGTTTCACTAGAACATCCAGTTATTTTATTTTTATTTATACTACTTCAATCCAAAACTTTCCCATCCCAAAATGTGTCCTTTTTTTCTGCAGAGAAACAATTTTCAGTTTTCCCTGTCAAATTTCATACTGGCTCGTTTGTATTTTTTTTAAAAATCTTCCCTTTCTTTTCTACAGTACAGGTAGTTCTCAACTTATGACCATAATTGAGCCCAACATTTCTGTTTTGCCCCATTTTACGACCTTTCTTACCACAGTTGTTAAGTGAATCACTACAGTTGATAAGTTAGTAACATGGTTGTTAAGTGAATCTGATTTCTTTTGGCTTGCTTTTGACTTGCTTGTCAAAAGGTTGCAAAAGGTGCATGACCCCAATGCTACAGGCCTGGTCCACATAGTTTATTGATGTCATAAAACAATAGTTAGTGTCATATCCAACCACAAAAAGAAAAAAAAGAATGAGTAGGTAGAATTTATTGTACAGCATGTAGAAAGAAAGATGTTTTGTGACTTATTTCATAATTATGAGTCAGTTGCTAAACATCTGAATTTTGATCACATCATCATGGGGATGCTGCAAAGGTTTTAACTGTGAAAAACCATCATGTCACTTTTCCAGTGCTGTTGTAACTTTGAATGGTCACTAAATGAACTGTTATAAGTCAAGGACTAACTGCATTAAACATTCCTTCTAGTTCTTTATCACCTGAAAATTTTACAATGATCTCCCCCAGCCCCTTAATTAAGAAACTGAAAAGGTGCTTCAGAGTAGGAATCAGAGGTGGCTTGCTCCTGGTTCAGCCCAGTTCAGCCAAACCAGTAGTAGCGGCAGCATGAGGCTCTTCCCACCAACCCGGACGCTTCTGCACATGCGCAGAAACATCATGAGCATGCGTGGNTTTGATTTTTAGAATTTGCTAGCTCTTATTAATATTGTTATTGCTACTAATAATTGTCATTTGTTTATTTTACATATAAATTCATACCCTGTTTTAAAGAGCAAAAATACAATTTGAAAAACAATGCTAAAACAACAAAACACTGAATAATGAAATAACGTAACTTAAAATGCTTAAAAAATTACAGCTGTAAGACACTGAAGGGCCTAAATATTTTCCACAAGCAGAAACTAAGAATGTGAAGTATATACTCTGTTTCTCCAAAAATAAGATCTCCCCGGATAATAAGCCCAATCAGGCTTTTGAGCGCATGCGCTAAAATAAGCCCTCCACGAAAATATTGCAACACAGCAACAGCCATGAGGTGACTACACTCTGCCTCCTGCACCTCAAAAATAATAAGATCTCCCCGAAAATAAGGCAAAGTGCTTATTTTGGGGATAAAAAGAAAATAAGACCCTGTCTTATTTTCAGGGAAACATGGTATGTTTATACAAACATACTACATTAGTAGATTTCGTTAATTTAGTAACCATACAACTGGAAAGAGGTTCCTTCAGGACACTCGGAACTAGTTCTGTAGCATAAAGAACTCTAACTTCTCAGAAAAAAACAGATATTTCAGGAGGAATACATAAATGGCTGCCACAGTTGCACTTCATCAACTATCCACTATTTGAGACAATTCTTTCAGTTGCCTAAAGGTAGGGCTGGTGCTTGTACCAATTTTTCTTTAACTATATTTAGATTCATTAGATGCAAACAAGCACATCCAAGGGAAAAGCCAGACTGCAATTACAAGGATTGTCTTGGCAAAGGTTTTCATATATATAAAAAACATCTTTCCCACTAATTAAAATTACTTACTGATGAAGTAGTCTCTGCTGCCAGTCTTGCAGCATACCGGGCGATCAGTCTATGTTCTTCATCTAGACGGTTTGGGCTTTCAAGTAAACTGTTATAGGAGAAGGGCAAGGAACAATGAAAAACATTAATATAAATGTTAAGAGGATAATGCTTCTTAACTTATACAGAGAAATGATATCTATGATGGTGATGATAGGGGAGACATAAAAAAATTAATAAAAATGGAAAAGAGGAAGAAAAGCGACATATAATGTTCTTCTACAACCCTGTAATCCTACATCAAGTGAAATAGTTTGATAGCAATTAAAGAAAATTAAGTAATGTGAGGAATTCCCAGTTGATGAAGAGGGTACAAATTACTGACTTTAGCCCCTTTACAAAGGGATTAGGCAATTTCGTAGTGATTAAATTAACTAAAGGCTACAATCATGCCATCAAAAAGTACCTGCCATAATCAGAAACAGCATGCCTCTTAAAAATGAGGTTTTTTTGTCAGAGTTTTTCAAAAGTTTTTGAGTGGGTAAAGCTGGAAATAGACTTCTGGAACAAAGGATGTCTACAGGGTATGGTTTAAAAATGTCAAGATTATGGCTACAATGGTATGATTGAAGATCCACCTATTTTTCTCTGCAAATCATCTCTCCCCCCCCTCTCCCTCTTTCGCTCTCTCTCACACACAGATTACAATACAATACAAATATAATAGCAGAGTTGGAAGGGACCTTGGAGGTCTTCTAGTCCAACCCCCTGCCTAGGCAGGAAACCCTATACCATTCCAGACAAATGGCTATCCAACATCTTCTTAAAGACTTCCAATGTTGGAGCATTCACAACTTCTGGAGGCAAGCTGTTTCACTGATTAATTGTTCTAACTGTTAGGAAATTTCTCCTCAGTTCTAAGTTGCTTCTCTCCTTGATTAGTTTTGGCCAATTAATATTTGGCCAATTAAGAACCTTAGTCTATTCTATTCCATTCCGTTCCTATTCCCATCCTATTCCTATTCTATTCCAATTCCAATTCCAATTCCATTCCTATTCCTATTCCTATTCCTATTCCTATTCCTATTCCTATTCCTATTCCTATTCCTATTCCTATTCCTATTCC